TTGCAGTTTCTTTTTCTCTATTCATGTCTTAAGTGATGGGTTCAGTCCCAAATACGACTGACTGCCTGGTTCAATTCTTGGACATCAGTGACTGGCAATGGGAGGGTTTACTATGCTCACCTCGTTAAGTCTGAAGACATGATGATTTGCACGAAGAGTCCTAATGGAGATTCTAACATGCTCATGTCTTTTGCTTTATGCAGTTGACCGCTCCTGCTCCTTTTATTTACTTACTTTTTGACTGAATCACCCATCTGCTATGGACTCCACATTTCTGCTGTGGAGTCCAAGTTCCTGTATAAACAGATAAAAGCTCTCTCAAGTAAAATGTACCTAAGTTTGGATCTAAGCACCACTACTCAATAAATGAGTGACATCAAACAAATAACTTAAAATTGCCTACAGCCCAGTCCCCTCCTACACAATGAAGAAAATCAGCCTTTGTAGGAAGTGAAGCATGGCATGCAAATTTTTCAAAACTATACCTGTGCATGCTGACTATTCCATACTTGTCATCTGCTATTTAACAATGAATTGCATTCCTTTTTTTTTCTTTGCCCATAATTGATGCTCTAGGGTATCAAGTGTTTTGGGAATTCCCAAAATTGAACTGATTTAAATGAAGAGCAATGACTTTCCATCATTCAAACTTCTTCTTTATTTCATGGAGTGTTCAAAGGACAGTGAAGTGACACAACCCAAAAACTGATGCTCTTTTGTCTATATGCCAATCCATAGGAACTATGCCTATACTAGTGTCCCAGCACTGCTGTAACAAAAAGTGCCACAGACTAGCTAGCTTATACAACAGAAATTCATGCCAGTTCTGAAGGCACAAAGTTCATCATAAAGGTATCATCAGGAGCATGCGCCTTCTAAAGTGTTTAAAGAAGAATCTTCCTATACCTTTTTCCAGCTTCTACGGCTGAATCTTTCTGTTTCTTATCTTGTAGGAGCATAATTCTGCTCTCTGCCTCTGTCTTTACATGTCTTTCTTATGTATCTGTGTCTTTCATCCAAATATCCCTCTTGTATATAGAGTAAGTCACTGAATTAGGGCATACACTAATTCAGCATAACTCAATTATGCCTATAATTCTTATTCCAAAGACGATCACACCCATACATAGCTAACCAGTCTAGAATTTGAACAATTTTTTTTTTGTCGGTCATGGGGGCTGAACTCTGGGCCTGGGCGCTGTCCCTCAGCTCTTCAGCTCAAGGCTAGCGCCCTACCACTTGAGCTACAGTGCCACTTGAGGCTTTTTTCTGCTTATTTAGTGCTGAGGAACTGAACTCAGGGCCTCACGTATACAAGGCAACACTTTACCACTGAGCCAACTTCCCATCCCAAATTTGAACAAATTATTGAGAAGACACAGTTCAATCCACTATAATGCATATAAAAATGTCTATGAATATGTCCTTGAATGAATAAGTGAATACATTTAGCTTAAGAAAAAATGTGCTTCCTATTCCATTTTGTCTCTCATAAATTAGGCATTGTGTTTATGTATGGAAAATAATCTGACCTTAATTGGCTTCAGTATTAGACAAGTTCAGTTTCTTGCTTGTGAGACTGTCTATAAATTGGATTTCTCTCCTGCAGGCACCCCATAGGAGACTCAACCTAAAAGTGTGTGAAGATCACTGTCCATATGGACATATAGAGTATGGAATGCCAATAGGATGACACATGGTACTTGGTACAAGTCCATGTAGACAACATCTCTATAAACTTGTTCCATTTAGTCTGTGAATGGCACATCATGAATTTCAGAAATAATGATGGGCTTTGCAGAAAGGAGGCAAAGAGCTGTTGCCAGGGTTTACTCATATTCCAGGATCCAATCTCAAGTCACAATATTTTAACAGCCTGGCCTATGCATCATCTTGTATCTGACAACTGAACATTGGCCTTGATCACAAGAACCAAGCTCCACTTTTGTGCTGGTTCTGTTGTTTTTTTTCCACTCATCACCTGGTCTAAGCCTTCTTTGATAACCTGTGTGGTATCCTTATCTCTTGAGATGCAATGCCCATGTTTATTTCCCCAGATTCCTCTAGGTCAAGTATGCTCAATCATTATTGCTTTTACTTTATAAAAGTAATGTTGTGATCTCTCCATTCATTAAGGACCACTTGAGCAGAGTATCCCTCGGCAAATGTGCTGAGCTAGTTATGATGCACCAAACAAGACAGCCTTAATGAAAGTCAACAGAAGTAGAAAATGAACCAAATACCTGACTTTGCAAATACTTTTGAGCATCATTGAACTCCATGAACCATATTTGTAATTGGACATAGAAGAATTTGAATAGAAGTAGAGAGATAAGAGTAGATTGCAGGAAAAGTTGAGCTCAGGATTGGAGGTGCTCCTGCTTTAGGCAGACACTAGAGATGCCAATTATGCTAAATTGAGCCAAGAGAATTTAATCTAGGGGAATTTGAGGACATAGGCAGTAGTCAAAGGGATTTTTTGTTTTTATCGGTCGTAGGGGCCTGAACTCTGGGCCTAGGCACTGTCCCTCAGCTCTTCAACTCAAGGCTAGCACTCTACCACTTAAACCACAGCCATTTCTGGCTTTTTCTGTTTCTGTGGTGTTGAGGAATCAAACCCAGGGCCTCATGCATGCAAAGCAAGCGCTCTACCACTGAACCACCTTCCCAGCAAATATTATTCAGATATTCTCACAGACAGTGATCAATTGTTGTATTCATAGAGACCTGAGCTTGCAGCTAATTAAGGATTAGGGCCTAGCATGAACACAGAAATCACTTCTAGAGGGATGGTACAACATAGTAGTCACCTCCCCTCCTCTCTCTTTTCTTCCCCTCTCCTCCTCACTTTCCATATCCATCTTTCCTTCCCTTCTCCCATTCCCCTTTCTGTCCTTAATAAGATGGCATTGGATAGTACTGGAAATACATCTCAGTATTAAATCAGTTTTACTAGAATTCATTCATATGAACCTACTATAAAAAAAAAAAACCATGGCTTCTTTCCAACTACTAGCAACATAGCATACACAGAAAACGCTAAATAAAGGCATGCTTCAGGCCACAAACACTATAGCATTGGCAAACATAATCTTTTATTAAGGAACAAGCAGAGTTACTGTCTAGCAAATGATTCTGAACTGCTATGATTTATGCTCTATTCCAGCTAATTTAATTTTTAATAGTGGATTGGTGCTGTTAATTCCCTTAGGAATTCAAAATGGAACATTATGAAAATGTGAACCATTCTGAGGAAAATAAATGCATAAACAAAGTGACTCTTAATGTACTGTCCAAGTCTGAAGTTCTACAAAACTCTAAGATATAGGGAAAAAAAACTAAGATTTTTTTTTTAAAACATCGATTTTAACAGTTGCAGTGATATTACTAGTAAAATCGAAGCAATCCTGACATTTTACAGTTAGTTTTACCTCAGACTCTTCTATATATAGCTATTGTTTTCTTCCCCAGTCCCTGTCATCGCAAAACTCTACTAGGAAAAGCTATGAAATTGGCAATTCAAATACCGATATATAGTTTTATTTGTTCATAAATTATGCAAATAAATCACTGTGTGAATATTTTTGTATTATAAAGTTACACAAAAAGCAATTCAAAGGGTTGAAAAATATCTTCAAATACCTCTTGTTACCCAACAGCTTTTATACAGTCTCTGAGGGTTGTACACCCTGCTCAGAACTGGCCTAGGCTGTTGTAAAATCTTGCAAAGTGGATTCCTGGCCTCATTTTCACCCAGCTTTTGCCCAACCTCAACCCATCTCCATCTGTCAGTGACTTATATATGTATTTGTAACTATTTATAAACCTAGTTATGTTCCTCATCTTAGTAAAATTCTTTTGTGGTTCCATATTTGTAAAAGGTAAGGGAGAAACTTTGGGTTTTGTCTTTTTGTTTTTGTGTTGTTTTTTTTTGTTTGTTTTGTTTTATTTTGGTTTTTTGTTTGTTTTTATTTTTTGGTCTCTGGGTCTGGGCACTGTCCTTCAGCTCTTCAGCACAAGGCTAGCACTCTACCACTTGAGCCACAGCACCACTTCAGGTTTTCTGAATCGTTTATTGGAGATAAGAGTCTCACAGACTTTCCTGCCGGGCTGGCTTTGAACCAAGATCCTCAGATCTCAGCCCCTGAGTAGCTAGGATTGCAGGCGTGAGCCACCAGCGCCCAGCTACTTCTTGTTTTTTGTTTTTGTTTTTTTTACATAATATCTTTCAGGTTTTAGTACCATTTCCTCATTAATGATCTGTATTTGAGAATGAAACTGAATGAAATATTCTGTCCATTTCATTCATTATCATAGCATTTCTTCTAACTACAGTATTTTTCCTTTGTCATCTTTTCTACTTCATATGTAATCCTTGAGATTTCACTCAAATATCTCATCCTCTGTAATATATTTCTTGAGGTCTTCTTCTGATTTTCCAGTTCCTTCCATGTCAGCTATTTTACTGTAGTTTACTTCACTTATTTACCAGATGAGTCTATCTATAAATTGAGCTCCCAAAGACTACAAATCTGATCAATTCATATGTCAATGGCACTTACAACAAGGCTTAACAATGTCCTTGGAATAAATGAATAAGTAGAAACTCACATTAACAATACTTGGAAAGACTTACATATTCTATTTGGTAGTAAATGCAACTTTGCAAGAAGATTTGGATGTATCACTTATCCAAGAGTATATATTCCATGTCATAGGACAAAATCTTGATTTTAAAATTACTAAGTGTGATAAAGCGGATAAAAATCTCCAATGTTTGTAATGTATATTACAAAGCCCCAAAATGTGCATTCTTCACCATTATGCACTTTTTCCTTGACATGTTGTGGGAAAAAGTACAAATTCTAGAAATTATTTCCTCAGATAGAATATAGCCATTGCTAATAACTTATGTTTAAACAATGTAGAATTTATAAAAGAAATAAAGTCTTGTGAAAAATATTTCTAAAGTAATAATGCCTCTTTTTTCATCTTTTCAGCAATCTTGACACAGAGGAACTATGTGGTAAGTTTCTCCAAATGCACACATAATATTAAATGTATATATGTGAAAAATGAACTAGGTATATTGAGAAGATGTATGGGGTTAGGAGAGATAGAGGAGAATGATGACAGGGGTCACATTGATCAAGATGTATTGTACTCATAAACTGTGATGCTGAATTGAAACCCCTTTGTACCACTACTTTATGATAATTAAAAAATAAATAATAAGAAAGGGAAAAGGACCAGTCAAACCCACTATTTATTTTAGAAAGAAAATAAACTTTGTCTGACATGTTTCTACACACCTTGGAATTAATAGAATAAATCAAGGATCCCAGATATATACATAGCAATAGATATAGATATGTAGATACCGATATATAGTTATCTCTATCTATCTATCTGTCTGTCTGTCTGTCTATCTATCCATCTATCTATCTATCTATCTAAAGGATTAACCTTTATTCATGAATTTTATTCATGAATAAAATTTCACTGCCAAAACACTTTGCTCATGGAAGGAGAATAACTGTATTGTAATTGGTGCATTAATTTCACAAGAGCTAATTCTCCCCTAGTTTGAATATATTTTTAAACTGGTGTTTAATGCAACTTCATTATTCTCTTCACAATACACTGTACAGAGCTTTTTGTTACTGTTTCGCAAAGCTGTACCCTTGAAATGTAAAAATATCTTTGTCCCATACCTGCCTAAACCCATTCTAGAGTTTTAAATGTCACTTAGAAAAAAAGTGATTCAAACAGAGAGAGATAAATCTTTACAAATGCCTGGTTTAATGGCCTCTCCAATTACTTTTTTTCATCTTTGTGGTTGGGAGCAAAAGTCAAAGATTAGAAATGCAGAAAAGTAAATACACTGAAATGCATTCTTTGTTATGAAAATTTATGGAGCATTATAATGTTATTCAATTTGAAGCAGCCATATTTTTCTGAATATTGGAAGGTTTTAAGTTTTCTATTTTAAGATAAATGCATGTGATAATAACCTTTATTCAAGCTTGATATTATTGTCTAAGTGGCTTGCAACATTTTTCTGGTTAGAGGTAAATTTCTCTAGAATGCTTAGCAAAAATCATGAGTATTTTCTGAATACCTTATAATTTTTACATTAGAGTTTATAATAACATAAAGAGGATATTCTATAATAATTAACAGAAGTCATTTTTATTTCAACAAAGTATAAAAGAGCAGCCATGCCAAGAAAAAGTGTCAGGACACAGGATCATAAGGCAATAATCAAACAATAAAAGTATCATAACTATTAACCACGAGCAATTACTATGTACCAATTTGCAAAAATGCATTCATTTACTATACCAAAGTCTGAATTAGCCTGTTTATTTTATTTTTTAATTTATTTATTGTTATTGTAAAGGTGATATACAGAGTTATGGTTACATAAGTTAGATAAAGAGTACATTTCTTATAATGGGTCTGTGTAAGACATTATGCTAAAAATGAACTTTACAATTTCAAGGGGGAGGGAAGAGTTGGAGAAGTGGGGAGGGAAAGGACGGTAGGGGAAAAACATTACCCTACTCATGTAACTGTAACCCCTCGGCACAGTATTTTTACAATAAAAAATATACATGAAAAAGAGTACATTTCTTTTTCTTTTATTTTATTTTATTTTATTTTTTTTTTGGCTGGTCATGGGGCTTGAACTCTGGGCCTGAGCGCTGTCCCTCCTCAATTCTTCAGCTCAAGGCTAGCGCTCTACCGCTTGAGCTACAGCACACTTCCAGTTTTCTGGTGGTTTATTGGAGATAAGAGTCTCACGGACTTTCCTGCCCAGGCTGGCTTTGAACCGCGATCCTCAGATCTCAGCCTCCTGAGTACCTAGGATTACAGCTGTGAGCCACCAGTACATTTCTTTTTGAAAGAAATTTCCAATGGTCGTAAAAATCTCCATACTTCCTGTCTCCACCTGGTGTCCATCCCAGATCAGGAAAAAGTGGGTTGTTTTGTGATTATGTAGAATCAAAGCACTTGGGTAAAAGCAGATTAAGGTTTTGCTGGTTATGAAATATTAGCAGGGGAAATCCTGGCATACTTTCACACATAGCCATCCATACACGGCAATTGCCATGCTATATAGACAAAAAATCCATATGGACCATGACATCAGACCTGATGATGAATGGCAGTCCCCATAAAGGTCAAATGTGGTTCAATCTCATTCATGTGTAGCCTACCTCTTCTAGTGAAGGATTAAGGCAACATGGTAAATTCTTGAAGGATAGACATTTGCTTCAAATGTTGAGATCAGTTAGGCCAAAGTAATCATTTCCTCAAGTCATTCAGATAATTGTTCAAGGTTTCACTACATTTTGTCTGGCTCGGCACAGCTGAGGAAAAACTAATGTTATGAAAGACTTTTAAAATTTTTAAAAATGTAGGTACTCTTATTTTCTATGTTGCCTATCTGTTACCATTAAGGAATATTGTTTTAATTTCTGTCTGCCCTTAAAACTACTTCAAATTTTAAAGTATGATAACGTATCTTAATCTTCCACAGTCTTGATCCTTTCTCCTATAATAAAAGAACTTGATTAGGAATCTACCCTGTATTTATTGAAAGAGCTTTATTGATTTTTTTTCACCCATAGTTTTAGCTAGGGAAGTGGGAGATTAGGGCTTGAATTCAATCAAATCACTGTATATTTTATAAATCTGGGAATTGTATTCCCGATTATGTTGTAATCCTCGTCCTCTCTGTTCAAAAATATGCATTTAACTTACAGAGTGTGGTTTCACTTCTTATTATTTTATGAATATAAAATAAATATTTAAGTTGGATTCTAATCAGGGCCAAATGCTTCAGTGTTCGCAAGGGAATATGTAGATTTCCCCCTTGCGAGTGAGGAATGTACAGCTTGATTAGCACAGAGAAGAGATTTCCTGTGCTTTCTCCAGAAAGCTAGTTACAAATTCCAGATGTCTAAAACTTTTTATTCTGCTTTTTCTTAATTTGTCGGCTCACTCATTTATGGACCTAGAATTCAAAATCTATTATTAAAGTGTTAACTTGTGTGTATGTATGCATGTGTGTGTAAGCGTGCATGCATGCATACGTGTGTGTGTGTGTGTGTGTGTGTGTGTGTGTGTGTGTCCCAGTACTGAGGTGGAACTCAGAGCCTCATACTCTTGCTTCCTATTTTCACTTATGGCTGGCTGATACTCTACCATTTGAGCTATGCCTCCAGTAGGCATGGCTAAATAGAAATAGACTTTTATGGACTTTTCTGTCCAGGCTGCCTTCAAACCTCTATCCTCAGTTCTCAGGCTTCTGATCAGAAATTATCACTGGCATGAGTCACCGGTGCAGTGCTTGGCTTAATAATTATTAAACTATCCTTCTTATTTGAATTATGAAAGTAGTATTTAACTACTACTCAAAAATGTTTAACAACACAGAATTATGTGGCTATATAAATTAAAACTTCAATCTCTTCTTTGCCAAACCTCCTTATTCTAATCTCCATTGACAGTTGCCCAAAGTATCTCTCCAAACATTTTAACACATCTATTGACATTCACATAAATGTGTGCATAGCATTGTTTGTCAGCACTAGGATGATTCTAGATTATGAATGCAACCATATACCATTCTGCTTCATTTTTTTTTAAAACTGCAGAATACCCTACTTCAACTTTTTTCAACCATGCCCCTTTTGATATATGTTCAATTTGTTTCAAACTTTCCACTGGAACTAATAGTATAGAGTTAAATATTCATGTATATATTATCTTTGAGCATTTGTACCAGTAGTTCCTTTTGTTAAGTTCCTCAACATGTGTTTCTCAAGTAGAGGGTTTTCTAGCTGCATACATACCAGCAGGTTTTAGGAATGCCAAGGTTATTCACACTTGAAAAATAATTGTGAAATTTCCTAAATGAAGTATTTGGCTGTAGCATATTATTATCAGTCAGTGAGAAATGTAATGTTATTTAAGAGTTCAAACACAGTTTGAGCATTGAGTCTTTGGGCTTGTATTCTGATTTAAAATGAATCAAGAGCACCATTATCACTTTTCTAATCCTACCCAATTAATGACTGTTTTCCTGATCATTTATACTAAACCTTCACAAATTTTGAACATGGTAGCTAGGTGTTTTGAGGTATTTATAAATGGAAAAAGAATAATTGTGGGATAGGAAGGGGAAAAAAAGGAGGAGGCTACAATGCTTGATAAGAAATGTACTCATTATCTTGCCCATGTAATTGTAACCCCTCTGTACAGTATTTTCACAATAAAAAAGAATAATTGCAATGAAAGTAAATGTAACTAGTTTGTTTATTCTGAAAACATTTCTGTAAGACAGTTTTGTGACCAAGGTGATACACGTAACTGTGTAATTATCATCTACTTGGTTGTTTCCTAACAAATATTAAACTATTTTCAAATATAAAGTCTGTTAAGATTTTTAAAAACAAGGGTATAGGAAACTCTCAGAAACAAACCTATTAGCTTTCCCTATTAGCTATGCCCTGGGCTTTCCTGGCCAAACTGCTTGGTGGCAGTAGCTCTCCTGTGGCAACCTGGGCAGTACTGAAAATCTAATGTTAGTGACTATGTGCTGGGAAATCCCAAAACTCTATGTCCTCTTCTAGGCTGGCAGTGCTGTGTCTTCCCGGCCCATGCACTTAGGTGATAAGCAGTAAAACACAGAGTGACATAGAACAGCAGCCCCTCAAAATAACCTGTGTTCTACATTCCCAATTGCTCTCTTTATTCTAATAATGGAGGTTTTAACTCTTGCTTAATTCTTTTCTTTCCTGTCTGTTCTACTGCTTTAGAACTCTAACAAGGGGCATGAAGTGCTTTGTGAGACTAGTTCCCAGTATGACATTTGTGGCATCCATGGGTCTTAGATCAGACCTGAAAATTCAGCAACTTGGAATATTGAAGCATAGAATAAAAACAAACAAACCAAATTTTAAAAACAACTGGGCATAGGTGATTCATGCTGGTAATCCTATCATTTCCAGGAGCCTGAGAGTCAGAGGATTGTTGTTTGAAGACAGCTTGAGCAGAAAAGTCCAAGAGACTTCACCTCAAAAATCACCACCAAAAAGCAGATCCACTGGTGTGGCTAAAATAGCAGAGTGCCAACTAAGTAAGCATGAGGCCCTGAGTTTAAACCCCAGTTTTGGTTAAAAACAATCTCTGACATTGGTAATGCAACACCACAAATTAAATGTAGTAGACAAGGAAGAAGCTAACCTCTCATTAGTATTCTGCTACAGAAGATGTCACATTGAATATGCATGGAAAGAAAATTTGCTTTCCGACAAATACCTTATTCAATACATTGGTGTATAAATTGAATTCTGTACCTTTATTACACCCAGTGTTCCTTACTTTTCAAAGACTTTTCCCACACACTGCCAAGGATTGGTCCTTGTATGTTTCCATATGCACCATGCGACTATTTTTCTGAAACTTGGGCAACTCATATATCAATTTTAATAAAAAGTAGCCTTTTCTCCAGGAAGTGATTCTTGCCACCCAAATACTAGAGTTTTAAAAACATAATATTTGTTCTAAATATTTATTTCTCTCTAGACATGATGTCAGGACAAAACACATTTCTCCAGTTCCCACTGTCATTGTGTTTCAAAGGAGAGACATGAATAAAAAATTAGTCCAAGTTCAGCCACTTCCAAAGTTACCATAGATCCTTCCTCTGTGCTCGCCACATCTTGGGGTACACTGATAGACTACTGAAATTCTACATTCCTCTTCTGTTTTTACTCTATAGCTTGGCCTGACTCATCGAATGGCTCCAGACAATTGTCATTGCCCTTGTTTGTCTCTGTTGGTGGCGTCACTAACATTCCCTCAACCATCTCCTGTGTGTCCACGGTAACCAAATAGGAGTGCGGATGCAGAGCTGTGCCATGGCTTTCTGTTGTCCATTAGAGTCTCTAATTTAATTTGCACATCATAATCTCCTGGGAAACTCGTAAAATAAATGACTCCTGGGACACCACCCAAATCACATTCAACAGATGAGACCTCATCAATAATCTAAATTTCCAACAAGTACTCTGAGATATGTTCTACTGAGTCTACAGGCCCCACTTTGAATGATGAGATACTAGAGGAATTTGATAGCAGATAGTAAAAATCCAAACAAACAAAAGTACTGTAGAACAGAAGGTTAAGAGTTAGAATACCAACCAAGAAATGATTCCACCTTCCTCTCTCACCACTGATATTTACCATCTTCCTTCCTTGCTGCCTTCTAGCCTTAACTATCTTCCAGTCTTAAATACCTTCCAGTCTTAACAATGCTGACTTACATATACACCTGTAGCGATGACAAGATACTGCCAGTTTCCTTCCAATTAATCAAAACCTTAATCTTATCCAGCTACTAATTCAGCCATCTGTGCTGTCTCCCCATTGAAAGAAAGTCTCTCTGACATATAGGTAGATTTGAGCCTTCTTGGCCTAGCTTTGGGATTGCAACTTTTACCTGGGTATTGGAGTCCTCTTGAACACTAATCATGTGAATTGCAGTAATTTGCTAAAATGTTTCTCTTTGTTACCAGATGGTAGGGTCCTTAAAAATAGAAGCTCTGTTTTCACCTTCATATTCTAATACCCAGCACATAAAAGACACTAAAGTAACATTTGTTAGATCTTAGAATAAGTAAACACTCACATGACAAACATAGAGGAGAATTATGTCTTTATCTGTATGTCTGGTCCTTTTATTGAACTTCCTTCTGGCTTGTGTTGGCTACAGAAACACTTCCATTGGTGAGTTAGTTGCATAGGAGCTTGAGGGACACTCAGTTGCACCACCATAAAATAACTCTCACACACTCAGATTTCTAGATTAAGCTCCTGTGCAGGGCTTGAATTCTGTACTCTTTTTCCTTCTCAGTTATGTTGATTTTGCTACCTAGAATATTGCTTGGCAAATGAAAGGGGTTTTTGTTATCTAAATGCATGAAAGGAGGAGGGAAAAATTAAGTCCAAATATGTGTCAACTCTTAGGCCACTAGGCATTTTTTTGTTATTATTTTGTTTTGTAGTTTAGGGAATATTTATTTTTATTTATTTATTTATGTGTGCATACATGTGCACACATATGCAGGCTGGTACTGGGGTTCTCATTTGTCTTTTCTACTCATAGTTGTACCTACCACTTGAGTCATACCACCAGTCCAGCAATTTGTTAGTTAACTAGAGATAAGAGTTTTTCACATTTGTCTGCCTGAGCGGAGAGAATCAGATCTCAACTTTTTGAGTAGCTAGGATTAGAGGTGTGAGCACCTGGCACCCAGCTTAGGTATTATTTTTCATGTGCTTAGCAGCCTGTAATTGTATCTGTATGAGCCACATAGTTGGTTCCAAAGTAGAGAGACTAAATTCTTTTTAGATACCTTAATTGAATAAAGCAAATGACTTGATTGTGAAAGAATTTTTTATTCTTTTTTTGTTTGTTTGTTTTTGTTTTTGGGTCCGGTCGTGGGGCCTGAACTCTGGGCCTGGGTGCTGTCCCTCAGCTCTTCAGCTCAAGGCTAGCACTCTACCACTTGAGCCACAGCACCACTTCTGGCTTTTTTCTTTTTGCTTATGTGGTGCTGAGGAATCGAACCCAGGGCCTCAGGCATGCAAGGCAAGCGCTCTACCACTGAGCCAGCTTCCCAGCCCCAGAATTTTTTATTCTTAAAGGTAACATTACTGTATTTATTCATAAACTTTTTAGGCACAAATTCTCTTTTGTTTTCCCATTACACATTTGTGACTACTTATATATATAACTGTCATATAATTCCTTTTAAGGTCTTGCATATATGGAAATGAAAGTATCCTTATTCTTACATTTTTCTTTTTTTAGTTTAATTTTATTGTCAAGGTCTTACATTTTTCTTTACATTTTTGTTTCAATTCAATATGGTCTTGACCCTAATATGTATTCATTTTCCAACATGGGAATAGTCTACAGCCACACTAATTTTGTACTGGTTTATAAAGAGTGTTGGTCATGCTGGGCATGGTAGAACACATGTAATAGAAGCAGTTAGATGTCCGAAATTATGAGCTAGAGGTTATGAGCTACATAGTGAGACCCTGTGTCAAAATTAATTAGTCAATTAATTAAGAATATTGTCCACAGATACCTCATTTATCACAAATAATTGCATACAGTCAGGCATTCTTTTCAGATCTTTCAAAAAGTCAACCTCATAATGGTGAATTAATATGTTCTTTTTCAATGGGTATTAAAGAAGTATTTACTTTATATATCACATAACCCAACTAACCCCTTTATAAAAGAACTTTCATGAAAGATGTGCTACATTGTTTATAGGGAGTTGCATAATCCAGGATGCATTTTACTTGCTTGCAAAAATATGTTATTTTTAACTATACTCTTTTATTGCTAATCTGTGTTTTTATTTTTCTCAGAGAAGCCTGAACATTGGCTCATAGATCAGATAGTGACACTTTCCATTTGTTATTAATATCAATGTCAAAAGGGGTTTCCATCTGAAATATTAAATTGATACATTGAGGCAATTTGCATCAAAAATGCTGAAATGTGTCCCAGTGAACTCAAGTGGTTTTCTAGTGATTTTATTCCTATTTATCACTTCAATTTAATTTTATAAATGTATATGGCACACTAAAGAGAGATAATAATATACTATAGTTCATCCAGAGATAAGTTCACCCAAACAAAGAGATCTGTTGGATTTCTAGTACTTGAAAATTCTACATTTTTTTTTTCAGTATATAAGTATCAGCTTAGATCTCTCTCATTTTAGAGATAGAGTTCTATAAGTAAATATAAGGTCATGTGTTTCATTGCTGCTATATTTCACCTAACTAGTTGGAGACTATCTGTGTCAATATTTTTTTCATTATAAATAGCATGCTATGCCTTGTTTAATCTTTGCAACTGAGAAACATGAGAAGGATGACCTTTATTCTTTGAAAAGAATTGAGATTGTGGGCCTAAAACTAGCTCGTGGCAAGAGCAGATCCAGGAATGGTGCCACAGGAGGCCTCACTAGTGCATATAGCACTATTGATTGTTAATCTTGGGGAGATACTCCATTCCTTGGCAATTTCCTGGGAGAAGCCATAAAATACATTTCAAGGTTTCTCTAAAATTGCTATCCTAGTGAGATCTATAATAATATATTTTTGAAAAAGGTATTTTTATTGAAACAGACATCAGTAGATCCAGATTCATTTTTTCCATGTTTTTGTAGGACAGAAGATTTTTTTATGAATGATACCCAATCAGGTTTCTTTTCCTTTATTTTTCTTTGAATATTTTTATTGTTATTGTTAAGGTAATGTATAGAGCAGTTAGTTATAAGTCAGATAAAGAGTACATTTTCTTTTGGAACAATGTCATTACCCCTTCCCTCACTATCCTAGTTTTTTCCTCTCTTCCTCACCACGTTGTATAGTTCATTTTCAATATAGTGTCTAGTAAGTATCACTCCTGCATTTGTTCACCCTTTGACCCACCATTTCTGTGCCCCCCTAACCTACCCAAAGACAGATAAATAAATAAACAAAAGGAAAAGAAAACAAAAATAGCAACAAAGAAAAAAATCACCTTTTGTTTCCATTACCTAGAGCTCATTTCATTAAATATCATCTTATATTATCAGATGCACATAGGTAATGCACCTTTATATTCCTCTCCTAAGAATATCCTCCTTTGATCTCACTGTGTGTGAATGCCTAGATGGTGAACAAAAATATACATACTAGGACATGATAAATTATACAAGTCTTTTTCTTTCTTAAGTGAAATGAGTGTATCAGTGCCTTCATCTCATTTGAAAACCTTCTGGTTTGCATTTATAGCCAACATTTTCTTTATACATTTATGAAGTAAATTATCAGTTGGTTCTTTTGTTTTGTTTTAGTATTACTTACAATCAAATGTGAACTTTTTTCAATATTTTTACTTTGCAGAATATTTTTCTCAGCACTTGGGTGAGTACGAGAATGTACTAGCAGCACTTGAAGACCTGAACCTCTCCATCCTGAAGGCAATGGGCAAAACAAAGAAAGTAAGGAAACATACAGGTTTAATTTCTATCAAATTCCCTTTTTTGAAAGTATAGATTTCTTCTTAGCACTGATGATTTACCCGGATACTAAATGAGATGTTTTATTCACTCACAGTACATTGATTTATACTATGTTCCAACCATGGTGCCTTGTGTTGAAGGTGCAAAATACTGACAGGTATTTGAGGAGCTCTCAGTCTGGTGGGAGCCCTGGTGAGTGAATGCACATTGCAGTGGGACAGACAGAGGCACGGTTGGGGTGCTTTATTCGTGTGGGAGCATATTATAATACCTGAGATAAAAGAAGTTATGAACACTTTATGCAGGGATCCTATGTCAGGAAGGGCGTGGGATACATAAGGAAATGAAAATGAACAGAATTACGTGCAGAAAAATTATGTGAGGGAAACCTGTTGAACCAAGGAGCCACACTTTCCGTGATGTTGTTAGCAAAGCTAAGGCTGCAAACCTGAATCCTAAATGCACATGAATCAGCAGATGTTTCACACAGATGTGAAAACTTAGACAGTCTTTCCAAAGCACCATGTAGAAATTAGTTTGGGACTGGAGTGTGAATGTATGGGGAGAAAATTGAGAAGATGATAAAAGAGTCTAGTTTACTGGTCCAGGTGAGCAATGATGGTAGTAGCTAGAAAGTTTGATAGAAAATATGGACCATAGCAACTGAATTGAGCATGTATTTGATACATTACCAATAGAAGTTGAAGAATTGAATCTGAGAAAAGGACATATCTGGGATGGTTGCTACTGTTTTAGATTGTGTATCTGGGTAGTGACTCCTTCCAGACAGATAATAGAAAACAAAATCTGGGCAGGTCAACTCAGAGTCTGAGATATGTTGAGTAGAAACTGCCCAGAGAGAATCAAGTAAGCCATCAAATACAGAAATCTGGGTCTCTTGGAAAGATCTAGACTTAGTGATACAAATTTGTGAATCAGATAGTAATTAGACAAATAACTTGAAGGATATCATCTAAAGAGCAATCAATGTACAGGAAGGAGAAAGACTAACACTGTTCCATAAGAAATTTTAACTTTTGATTATGAGAGTTGGGAAAAAAAGACAAAAAGAAAGTGTGAGTGTTGGGAAGAAGGCTGTGAGGAAAGCCAAGAGGGCATATGGTCCAGAAGTTGAAGAAGGGTATATTTTAAAAAGTAGGAAGTACTGTCATGTTAACTGCTGTAGAGATTACAAGATGAGAAATAAATTTTCCATTGTCAGCAAACCAAATGACATTAGTATATGAGATGAATGGACAAAAATTTTAAGCATATGTGGACATTTTAGCTAAAGACAACATATTTAGGTACTTAAATACTTGGCTATAACATCTCTAGGAGTAGGAGTAAATGCTAGAGTAAGAATCTTTAAATGGGAAAATTTATGGCAATTCAATGTGGAAACTGCAAAACAAATGGACATGTGGTAACACAGAGAAGACTTCATACGTTGATTGACCTATTTGCCCTGAGTGGGAACACAGAAAACCACCACAACTTTAGCAATGTATTATCCAGGCAGACAGTAAGACTCCTCTTACAGAATTCCAAACAGTACAAAAGGGGAAAAAATGTAGATTTTTCAGTGATAAAACTTGACCTGCCTCTGCTGATATTGACTGACTCCTTCCTAACTCACTGATTGTTAAATATGCAGCCAAGAAAGGTCAGCCAAGAAAGGTCAATAGATTGCCTTCATGAAAAGACAGATCAAAACAAACAAGGAAAAGGAGAAGAAAAGGAGAGAGAGAGAGACAAAGAGAGAAAGAGAGAGAGAGAGTTGGCATACAGGTAGATGGAAACTTCAAAAGTATTATCCTCAACCTCTTTGGAGAATAAGAGAAGATATTGCATCCATATACAAAGAATAAGATGGCAAAAGATAGAGAGCTTTTAGAAATTAGAACAAGAGTATAAAAACCCACCCCAATCTAGGAATATAAAGCTTAGAAAGCCTCCCAAATCATACAGTAAACCTAAAGTTGGGGGAGGGGAAGTGGGATCAGAATACATTTTATCTGGACTTCTTCAGAAGAATGCAGAAACTGCATAATAACTTTATCCCTTGGGAATTTCTCTTCAGAAATGGTCATTTTATTTTATTTTTTGGGGTCCGGTCGTGGGGCCTGAACTCTGGGCCTGGGTGCTGTCCCTCAGCTCTTCAGCTCAAGGCTAGCGCTCTATCACTTAAGCCACAGCGCCACTTCTAGCTTTTTTCTTTCTGCTTATGTGGTGCTGAGGAATCGAACCCAGGGCCTCAGGCATGCAAGGCAAGCGCTCTATCACTGAGCCACCTTCCCAGCCCCAGAAATGATCATTTTAAAAGCCCTGGTTGGTGTGGCCTCCTTCTACCCATTCCTTATGTCTCTTTTGGATTTCATTGACTTAAAAAGTCTTTTCTGACTAACTCACCTTTAAAGTTCATTGGTAAAAAAGAATCCCACATTCCTTGCTTGTAATAACCAATCAGTACGTAAATTTTTTTGTCTTCACAGAGACATAAGAATAGTGCATTTTTTGGCTAACATGCTAATCAAAAAATTTCCTGATAGATCAAATAAATGTGTTAATTAATGAGTATTCATTGAGCTCCAAAGGCCAAATGGTAGGGATTGTTTTTTACTTCAAGAAAATTTGCTTTCAAATCATTTAAGAAGCTCTCAGATTTCTTTAAATAGGAAAAAGAAGCAAGTATATAATCTTCCTTATTTTCTCTCAGTAAAATCCTGTTCTTTTCCTTATATTAGTACAATGAATCTTTGTGGAAATTAAATTGAGGTCAGGCTGTTATTTTGGTCGCTTAAGTTGCAAACCCTTTTCTTGCCATTAATTCTAAAAATGCATTTTATTCCTGTCAAAACACTGTCTAATCAAAGAAAACACATCTTTGGATTTTTTTGTAAGAAAAAGAAATAAGAAAGTAAAGGAGGGTCTGGGAAGGTGGCTCAATGGTAGAGCGCTTGCCTTGCATGCATGAGGCCCTGGGTTCGATTCCTCAGCACCACATAAGCAAAAGAAAAAAGCCGGAAGTGGCGCTGTGGCTCAGTGGTAAAGCGCTAGCCTTAAGCTGAAGAGCTGAGGGACAGCGCCCAGACCCAGAGTTCAGGCCCCACGACCGGACCCAAAAAAAAAAAAAAGAAAGAAAAGAAGAAAGTAAAGGAGAAGGACTGAAAAAATAGGATTAGATATTACCTTAGTTGGATAGCTCAATGATGAGTGAATTACAGGAGCTTGGACAATGACTGAATCTACCAGTGAACTGACTCCTTCTCAACTGAAGCCTTCTAAGAGAGAAAGTTGGCATTTCTTTTTGAGCATTTCTCTATATTTTTACCCAGATGAAAAGTCCCTGTCTCAGTAGGCAGGAATGACTATTCTAGGATTTTATGAACAATGAAATACAAGCCATTTGTGGCCTATGGACTGACAGCTCATCTGTTTGCTCTGTCAGAGAATAGAAAAGATATGTCCTAACTGCTTAATGCAAACCCCAGTAGGTGGTGAGGACAGATACATTAGTGCCCTTCTCCTCCAACTTAATCCCAGTCTTTTGACAGATCCGTAAAGCCAGGCAAAGGTGGCTCACACCTGTAATCCTAGCTACTCAGGAGGCTGAGATCTGAGGATTGTGGTTCAAAGCCAGCCCGGGCAGAAAAGTCCATGAAACTCTTATCTTCAATAAACCACTAGAAAACCGGAAGCGGAGCTGTAGCTCAAGTGGTAGAGCTCTCAGCTTGAGCTGAAGAGCTGAGGGACAGCACTCAGGCTCAGAGTTCAAGCCCCACGACTGACCAAAAAAAAAAAAAAAAAAAAGGCTACATTTATTATTTTATTTTTCTGAAACAAAACACTGGGTTAAGTTCCAAATGGTCATGTGGAAGTCCTGAGGGTAGTCTAATTTTGAGATTTTTATATACACATGAAAAAAACATTAGATTTCTTGGTTTGTTTTTAATCTATCTATCAGGGGTGAGTGATGATGAACTAACTTAGATCTCAATATGTCACTATGGCCCTAGGCAAATGTGGACTTCTGATGCTCAGTCTAAAGTCTTCATATGTTTTGTCAGGTTAAGCAAAAGTGGAATGTCCTGTATTGACAAAGCTTAGCAGATTGTTATGCTGAAAGAACATCTTCTTAAAATAATTATTTAGGGTTTGATTGTCACCTTACTGAGAATAGCTGTGTTCCAAACCTAAAGCTGGGCACTCGTGGCTCTCATTTGTAATACTAACTGCTCAGGAGGCTGAGATATAAGAATCATGGTTTGATTACAGCCCAGGCAAGAAAATCTATCAGACTTTTATCTACAATATACTACCAAACAAATTATCAAACTAAAATATATGTGTATAGTTTCCTCCTAAAATTTACTTCTCAAACAGGAACATCTTTTGCAATGATTAACACCTTGTAGTATGTCTGAACTACTATGACCCTTGTTTCTTCTGTCTTTGGGAAGCCATGTTGGCTCTCTCTGGCATCTCTACATTTCTTCATCTCAACTTTTGCATCTCCTCCTTTCCTACTTCCTTATATATACCATCTAATCCTCCCTGGGTTACATATCCTTTCACTATTTAATGATTACAATCTTTTCTTTAATGAGTCTCAGTATTTAAAAAGAAGAAGATGCAATACCAATATGGCTCAGTAGGATTTATCATGAAAACTGTCCCTTCTTTCACATAAAGTATCAGCAGGTACATGTTGCTCTATGTGAAATAGTACAAGTCTCTCTTAAGCTCTTCAAAGACAAGCACGTTCATTCCTTATTATAGTTTCATGAGTATATATTGAATGTTCATTAAAAAGAAAAGGGAAAATTATTCTTGGACTTTAGAACAGCCATAATAAAACCTTTGACAGGAGCTTATTTGACATCCCACTTCTTCCTCAAAAAATGCTCTCTCTTTTATGTGAGTATGTTTAGGAAAGATGGGACTAGGAACATGGGAAGTAAGACCGAAGGGGCATG